CTCAGTAAGAGCTTCTTTAACAGCTACACATCCTTTCAGACTCATAGTGTTGAGTTGTCATCTCACAGTGGAAGGATGGACAGACCACCTGTGAATTTTTTCAGATCTAATGCAAGAGTGGAGCTTGATTTTCTCCTCTCACTCAAAGATGAACGCTTTAAGGACTGTCTATTTGAGCAATCTGAATTTATCTGGGGGACAATTTTGGTGGTCTGTCAGGTCTTGCATTGTTATATGAGTCACATTTATGCTTGTTTTTTTGAAGTGGATTGTCATATCTAATCTCAAAAATATATCGCTGTTGTTGAAAGAAAACCTTGTGTCTCCAAAAAGATAAGTTTACAGGAAAAGGAAAAAACCTACTTTACTTTTAATGTAAGTCAGTGGAACCAAACTTACTTCCAAGACGTTTTGGGTCGTTTCCTTTGGTACTTTCTTCATGAAATTTACACACTATATGAAGGGCAGCAGGCCTTTTCAAAATGTCACAAACTGAAAAATAACCAAAATGGAGATGCGAGGTTTTCTTCTGACAGCAGCGATATCTTGAAAAATGAATAACTTGAATGGAAATAGATAAATGAAGGGTGGTTTCTTTTGCATAGAACTGTAATTGTTAATGTAAGTCTGTTAGACTCCCTTCTCTTTTTGATGCATTCTTGATCTAAGATAAAATGAAAGCTCTCAAGTCAGCAGTGTGACCAGTGACAAAGCAGCACAGGTAACAATGACAAACTCATAAATTAAATTAATAACTAATTGTAATGAGTAGAATATTAGTGTAAGTGTGCATATACAGAAGTGTACATATTCACTGCTAGTGTGTTAGTGAGTTGTCCTCAGTACTTTGTATGTCATTGTCTGCTGCTGAATCATCAGCTACTAGCAGTGCTGTGGAAAAGGAGAACCTAAAGCGTTCAATCAGACAAAAATGTGGAAAAACTATAAACTCTATAGTGTAACTATAAAAATCTAATGGTTACTAATAGCACAAACACAGAGCAGCGTGACTTGAAAACAAAGAGTGTGGTTGCCATGTGAGTGAGATTCATTCACCAGTTTGACAGGAGGAATTTAGAGTAATTATTTCTGTTGGTTGGACACTGCAGAGTTTGTGTGCAAGTTCACTACTCTAATGAAGTCTGTAAACAAACATAAACACGCTTGCCTGCTGAAAATGAGCAGCAGCTGTACTGTGTCTGGGCCGCTGTGGTGAAGGCAAGGTCCAGCCAACCAAACAACAACTACAGTGCGACCAGATGAAGGATAGAGACCTTAATCATCAGACTCCAGATAATAGCACGAGGTCAGCCGCCTGTGGAATTACTGCAAAAATCAGAAGATTAAAATACTGTCACGCCTCCTGGTTCTCATTTGGACTCTTATTCCATTTCGGACTCCACTTCCCTGAATCCCTCAGTTTGTCATGTGACTCCACCATCCAGTCACAAGCCAACCAGCAGATCTCAGTCACCTGAGTACTGATTATCATCGCCTGTGTTTCTGTGTATATAAGTCTGTCTGTTTGCAGCCTCATTTTGTTAAGTATTGCCTCTGTTCCGTCAGTGTATACCGAGCTGTTCTCTTGTTTGGTAGCTGTTTTGTTTCTTCTTGATTCTCGGATTTTTCCCTTTTTAACTAAGTCTAACAGTGTTTGCTCTTTGGTTACTACCCTCGCTTGTTTATCTGACTCAGTTATTGTCTTTGCCCATTGTATCTGGCTTCTGACATGGTCTGGTGTTAACCCTGTTATTATGTTAATTCTCCTTTTAATAAACCTTACGGTTTATCTTTTATCCGCAAGGGTCCGATTCGTCAACCCAGCGTTACAAATACACTGTTGTTTGCCTTTATATTGGAGAATGGAGATGTGAGATGTTAAAAGTATCTGTAATTTGGTGCCAATTGCTTTTTTATAGTAGTGGCGCTTCCAAGTTTAATAATGGACCTCCCAATTCAGTCTGCAAATGCTGCTATTGAATGCTTTAGATGTTTTTATTCAAAAAAGAAACATTTATTGGCTGAATTTGTGTTTGTGAATGATGACTTTCATGTTGCATATAATGTGCTATTGATGAGCCACACACTTACCAAACAAACCCAAACTTGTGTGATTTTGTAGTAGAATGTCACCCCCATTATCTCTAGTTCATTCGGGTTTACAAGTTCTATTTCTGGATGTTGTGAACAGCCAGTATTACTATGTTGGTCATTATTTAGGTTTTAGGCTTACTGGTTTAGCATTTTAATGTTGTAGGTTTTAATAATGCAATTTTAATTAAAGGATTGTGCTTAATGATACTATTTTTGCTGTGGTATTGAATTGACCCCGAGAATCATCAACTTTCACAAGAGTTATCAGCTAAAAAATGTTGCTATTGTGACAGCTCTACTTCATGATATTCCTCCTCTTGCTCTAACTGGGCAGTTACCATTATAATACTAATTATCATTACTAGTTCGTTGAAATAGTGGTAACTGGGTTACCGCTATAAATGCACGACTTCAAATTTACCACAGTTTTTCATAGTTTCACAATTTTTGCGTCATGCAGCGGAGGTCTGCAAGATGTTACTCTTTTCCACACACGTACATGCTTAATTGGAGTTTTTTTTGGGGGGGATGGTTCAACCATGCTAACTTACATTACATCCTTGGGCCAACAACAGGCTTGTTATCCATTGGACAGTGTTGACAGGCACAGCATTGCTCCTTACTTACTGCTCTGCTTTCATAAAGCAATTGGTTTGCAAATTTTGCAGCATTCCCACCCTAGTAAGTCTGCACTCCCACCAACATTTAGCCCATAATTTCTTGTGACTGTCCCTAGATGTTTTCATTATACGAGATCACATCTGGTTGCAGGGAAGCTCTGAAGTAGTTGCAGATATTTGGTGAAAAGGTTTTGTGTGAATTTGAAATCTTAACACCTAATTTTTGTGAAACGAGTTGTAGAAACTGAAATTTGAGGCATGATGATCTCTTGCATTTAATTCTTCACAACCTAAAGGCAAATTCCATCACACTTCTAGAGTTGGGGGGAGATTGTTTATCTGATTACATTTTATGGATTTGTGCTAATGAGAATTAAGTGAATACCTCCATTCATAACCATTCTTTGAACTTTCATACCATTTCCATGCTATTTAAATTATAATCCCAAAACACTGCTTGATAGCATATTCTGTATACTAATTGACTCATTTTAATCTGTCATGGATAAGCAGTTATTTTATAAGTGTATTCCAGAAATATGTCCTTTTCTGTATCACTGCAGGTTTCATGTAATTTTGCCTAGAGATATTTACATTGGCTCTCCTCACAGCATTCTGGTGATTGTAGCACCTCTCCCAACTCACTGAGTGCTGAAAAACTGATGGCCTCGCTGTAAAGCTTCACCCTGAGGCCATTCTTTCTGTCTGAGCAGGCTGCTGATTGATAGACCCCGACGTGAGCGTTTAGTATTTGCATGTAAGAAATGGAAATAAGTAGAGATTGTATCTGTGTGTTTATATCAATGGAAACCCTGAGGTTACATTAAAGTGCTTGGGTTTGAACATGCTATATATTCTTCTTTCTTGTCATATTAACATATTAATTTTCAACAAAAATTAGGCATTTACTTTTATTCTATTTCATTCTATTGATGTATGCTTGAAATTTGGATGCCATCAAGCAAACTAAGCTTAATTCACAGTAATTTAAATAATAATAACACTTCATTCTAAGGAGTGCATATTCAGAGTTTGTTAAATTGTTGTCCCAAAAATGCAAAATAGACACTTTTAAATAGTTTATTGACTGTTTAAGCTATATTTATTATAGTGTGCAGTTGGATGTATGCTATGTGAAAATCTTTTAATGAATACAGTAGTTATAATAATTCACAATAAACCCTTTGTGCATAATAACAGGTTGTGTCAGTGTTAAAATGATAGCTGGCAAAGTGATAAATTCATTGGTTTTACCACATAGGGCTAGCCTGCCAAATGTATAAATTCTGTCATGTGTTTCTCATTGCAGTGATGTCCATTTTAGATGGATTCTCTTCAAAAGATAATTCATTTAACCATTATTTTTCCTTTTATAGTGTCTGAAACATCCATTTCACAATATACATGAATATGTTCATTTCAACCCTTTCCTGATGCTCATAAAGTAAACAACTGTGTGGATGACTTACTAACATATTAGTGAAGTATTAAATCTTTTTTTCGGCAAAATACCATAAACAGGCATTTGGTTTGCAACTTTGCAAATTTGTTTGCACTTTAAAACCTCAAATTGAAAAAATGTACTTTAGAATAACAGACATATATTGATGTGTTAGTGAACTATTACACTCTTAATAGCTCTAAAGCACCAAACTCCAGATGTTTATCTAGAGTAGAACCTATATAGGAATCACATGTAGCCATTTATCCACTAATAAGATGTACATTTAGAGGATACCTAGTTGTAATGAAGTATTTATTGTGCATTATTACTACTAATGTGACTTTCACAACAAATCTCCACTTATTTTGTAATATAGGTCATAAAGAATAAATCTTAATGCACAGTGAAGTAAACTGTTAATAATAATAATAATAATAATAATAATAATAAAGAGAAGTTAAGTTAATGCAAAGTATGTTTTAAGCTTGTTTGAATATGGCTATAATCTTTGAACAGTCATTAAGGAGTTTATTGAAGAAACATTAACAATTCATCTGTAATAAATGGGGATAGAAAGGATAATGGCCAAAAGGGGAATTTTGCCTTTGTTTTGTTATGAGCCAAAAGTAAATCCTACAAAAGAAAATTGTCATTGTGCTGCTTATCTATGCCTAGTCTGGGAGCAGTGCTGCCTGAAGCACTTGGGGGTTAAGTGCCTCAACCAAGCACAACAACCAGGTCAGTCCTGGAATCTGAAACCACAGCATTCTTGTTGCTGGCCAGCTCTCCTACCACACGGTTACCTGCCACCCCAGAGCCAGTAAAGGAGGAAGTAGGCAAAGTTCTTATCAAAATGTTGCAAATGATTTTATTCTTTAATGAGAAAAAAACAACATACTGAACATGAGCACCATTAAATCTTTGGCCATGCAGAAGTAAACCTCAACCGAACAAAACCTGGATTCAACTTGGCTTTAGGAGTTTCTTAGCAATACACACAGATATATTCCCAGAAACACATCTGTTGCAGAGAAGTCACATGGGTTTTCACGTGCACGCTTCTTTTTCCGTGAACATATTTCAAATTGTCCACATAATACACAGATGTGTGCAGTTCTGTGGTCTTCCTACGTCTCGCCCTTTCATATCACCAAATCACCAAACATTCAGACACCATTTTCTGGACCTTCTTCTAGACATACATAGGTTCTATATATTTTTTTTTATTTTTTAAGACATGCCACAAGTGATATTATCATATGTGACTTTTCTGTAACAGAATGTTGTTCCAAATGTAACCCTCCACAAAAACCAGAAAAAAAAATCTTAAAAAAAATATTTACATACACAAGGACTATTGAAGTTCCCTGCTTTGACCAGATATGTTTAAAAAATCATTCCCTCCCTGTTAAAGAGAACAAACACTGATTTTCATTGTTGCATTTGTCTCTGTGGTTCCAACCAGACTGATCCAATAGCTTCTGATAAGTGGAGCTCACTTTCTCTTAAACAAGTGATTCCATGTCCCTTGAACCCTTGTTTTCCTTAAAACATTTGAGGGTCTATTTTTATGTTTCCTCTTACGGTGCCTAGTCTTGGCTGGACACTCTGGGTTTCCCCCTGCCTCCAGCTAGAAAACAGAGATGGAAGAAATGACTGAGAATGGTCATCTGATTAAGTGAACTTAATTCTAAAAGTTTAAAAGGATCTTTGTGCCATGGTGCTTCTGTGAAACCAGCCTATCAGTTGTTGATCATTTTGTGTTTGAAGCTGCACAAATAATCAATTTCTACACATCTACACTCATAACAAATGGTGCCACAAAGTGCTCTGTGAGTTGCTTTTGGTACCACAAAGAACAATGTTTGAAAGAGAGATTTGTGAGTGCAAAGAACCTTTTAAAGGTTTAGAGAACCTTCACATAATGTAGAAGTTTGGTTTCAATTTAAGGATTCTTTCTAGAGCTTTTACATGATGTGGAGGTTCTTTAAACTTTAAAAGTGATTCTATTACACACAAAAAAACTCCTTTTGGCACCTTTATTTCTAAGAGTGTAATCTGTAGAGTCACCAGGAGTCAGAACCAACTTGACTGCCTATAATAATAATAATAATAATGATAATGATGATGATGATGATGTTCAAATGATCAAAATCAGTCAATAGTGAGTCTTACTGTATTATCTGTGCTATAAATAGAACCATTTGTTTTATCTAGCACCATACTACTATGCAACTATAATTCTCTGGATTTACCTGGCACCCGTCTTCCAGGACCTCGTCTGGTTCCCTCTGTAGAAAATCAGACAACATATGTCTTAAGTAATAATACACTACATAGAGACCACTATCACAGCACTCTTTTCCCTATTGACAAATACGCATACTTAAATATTTCAGTAGTATACTTGAAATATGTACAGTATACTAAAAGTACATTTTCTATTTAATATATTTTTATGTAAATTAACCTAAAATATATTATTCTGTATTTTTCAACACATATTTATGAATCATCCTTTAGTATACTGTAGTGAAATGCACTTGAATTGATGCATTTTGTAACATACTTAAGCACACTTAAATTAAAGCATATTTATCAACTGAAGTTTATTATTTAGAAGTGTATTTTAAAGCAGTGACTTTTAATTTGTTTTTATTTAGTTGCATTTTAGTTGCAATACAACTTCAACTAACTAGCATCCGATATAGGTATCGGTACACCCAAGAGTACACATTTAAAAATATCTTTCAATTGTACAGGGAGATTCACTCGAAAGAGGCCCTGAATATTCTGTAATACCTCTCTCTAGGATGAAGCAAACTGAACTAAACTATGTGCAATGTGCTCCTCAGTATATGGAGCTTCAAACAAGCCAGGAAGCCCCTTCGTTGGAGCGATGAGGTAGGCGTCGGACAGCTGTCGCGACGTTTAACCTCCGTTTGCAACTTCCGCTTGCATACCTCCATATCCCTTCACGTGTCTGACAGAAAACGGAGATCACTTCCAGCATTGTGTGTAATGCAAACAATAACACATACGTCAAGGTATGTAGTGTATTTTTTGGTTCAGACTGCTTCATCCTAACGGGAGTTACAACAGAATATTCGGGGCCTCTTTCGAGTGAATCTCCCTGTAGTAGAATTTATGCTTTAACCTTCAATGCAGCGTAGTAAGATTAAAACAGAATAGCACTTGCAGCCATAGAATACATATTTCAACATTACTTAAATATAATTTAGGTATGTATAAGCTGTGTTTAGTTATTCCAAAATAAAATATTTAAGTGTTTGCCTAATTATGCATTTAAGTGCACTTTTCTAAAACATGTTTTATTTGTTGAATGTATTTTATTAGTTTAATATAAGTTTATTTAGTGACATTAAAATATAATTTAAAGTGCATTTTAGTTAACTCAGTAAGTGGTACCAAAGTGTATCAGTACATCTAGTCGTATATTTATAATATATTCCAGGTGTAATAAGTTATGTTTACAGATTACATATTTGAATCTAATTAAGTGGAACTTAAATTGTTTGATAAAAGCACAACTTAATGCATATATATAAATGTAGTCGTAGCTTAATTACAATTTACACATAAGTTGTCATACATTGTTCCAAAATAATACATTTGGTATGTATTAAAGAATGTTTAAAAAGTGTAAATGTTAAAAATCTACACTTTTCAGTTTAAATACACTGTTGAAATGTACACTTAAATGCATTTTTCTTTCACAAGGGTGAAAAGCTCACCTTGAATGATTTTGGTAAGTCTCTCGCTGTCCGTGTCGAAACTTGTGACGTACTCCGTTTGAGGTCCTGAGAAACAATCAGATTCAATTAATATGTGCATCAAAGCTTTTGCTGCAAAGGAGAAGGAAATGGGACAGAACTTGTGAAAGAATCTGGAAACAGCAGGAAAACATTCTACAGGCAACTGGGCCTCTGTTATTCTTTTACCTGGAACATTGCAGAACCCAAAAGAGATTGCATTGTGTCACGATTGCAAATTCGTAGGAATTTGATTAGTTAAGATTAGAGTTAAAATGGCCCATTTAAACAGTCATAGCCTTTTCACCACTGCATTCGAGTGAAATCCAATGAAATTGCTATCATTCATAATTCCTACGAATTCTACGTGAAGTGGGGTTGCCAGAGCAGCATCATTATCACAGATGGAAAAAAAGAGTTGTTAATTGTGAACCCAGGTTGGTCAGGCCAAAATAAACAGCAAGGAGGAAAGATCGTGTCTTCTAGCCCTACTATCAGCATGCTTAAAGGAAGAGTTGCTCGAGATATCACACTACCATGGAGCTCCATATTGGAGGAGCTTCTGACCAAGTATTCAGGACCTGTTGATGCAGAACATTAAGCAGAGTTAATCGCTTCCACATTCTCAAAGCACAGGAGAGGCTGTGAATGATACTGCTTACATCATATCCTGTAATATAGCTTAATGCAGGAGTGGGGAACTCCAGTCCTGGAGGGCTGAATTCTTGCACAGTTTGGTGATTTTAGTTCTCAACCATGGCTGATTCAACTTATCATTTATTTAATGAATTTAGTTGATGTGCTGGAGCAGTCCAGTTCAGTTCCCCACTGCTGGCTTAATTGATCATTGTTAATGGCATAACTTTCAGCAATGGCCCATGACAAGTAGAGCCTCTGACCTCTTTATTGGCTTCCTAATATCATTAATTTTGAAATTTTACATCCATGACTCATAAGTAGCTGCAATAACTTAATAATGTACAACCACTAGGCTACACTAAAGTATTAAAATGGTAGACAAATAGTGGTATCAAGTAAGCAAGGCAGTTCTTTGATACAATTCCTGGAGAGAATTTTCATTTGGGGAGCCCATTATTTATGTATGTATGTATGTATGTATGTATGTATTTTTTGCACTACTGCCTTTAAGAACCTGGTTACACTGCTGTATCACAGTTAATGGACCAATAGTGTATCTACTCCTGTAACTTGATTAGTAGTCTCAAGGGGCAAAATGTGATCTTGAGAATGTTGGGGGACAACCATTAGACAATTTGGGCTAAATGTCAGTGGAAACATAGACTTATTAGGGTGGGAACAAACTGATTTACCTCATTAAACACAGTAAAAACATTTCCTCACGCAGGGAAAAACAGTTCTGTTAGTTAACAACAGTGTTTTTCTAGCTAGCTTGTTTTGCTTGGGTTATTTACTGTAGTCCAGAGGTTAAAAGGACATGGACAGAGGAATGTGGGGGCAGGCTTTAGAGGGGGCATACCCTTATTAGTGGTGCAATTCACTGCAATCCAGCACCAGTAGTTTAACAAACTGTCCCCAGAGACGTATTCTCATTACAAGCTCACGTCTCGTCCCGCAAGTTATGCAATGTGCCAAAACACAAGCATTCTCCTGTCCTTACAGTTTATGAACCGCCATTTTCTACACACCATTTCCTGGTGTACCACCATAACGTTTAGGGAACACACATTTTATTCATATTACAATTTCAAGGTTTTATATGCATGCTATAGACTATTACTATTTAACAAGTTCAAAATTACATTTACCTTCAATGACGCGGGTAACAGTCGGCTCTCCTTGGATGACTCTGGTGACCTTGGTGATGGTTGGCTCTCCCTCAATGACCCTCGTAACTTTGGTGATGCTTGGCTCTCCCTCAATGACCCTCGTAACCTTGGTGACGCTTGGCTCTCCCTCAATGACCCTTGTAACCTTAGTGATGCTTGGCTCTCCCTCGATGACTCGTGTAACTTTAGTAATAGTGGGCTCTCCCTGGATGATTCTGGTCACTTTGGTGACATCACCGGGAACTGTGCCGGAATAAAAAGAAAGACACAGAACAGTGACGGGATAACAACATTTTAGAGACCATGCAAAGTTGTCTTTATGCCGTATTCTTCAGCGTCACCAATCTTCACATTACCTGTGATGACTCTCTCTGAAAGAGAATAAAAGTAAACCATGTGAGACACAATAACAAAGCCATATAGACACTGTTCAAATACAGCCTTTTCCATGAATGACACTTTCTTCATTGAACTTACTTATGAATGTCAGTGGAATCTCCTGAAATCTGTATCCTGAGACAAACTGTTAATAGAAAAGGGCACTAGTGAGCAACGGATATGCACTCGGAAATGGTATTAAAGGTAAACGAACCTGAGATCCCTCAGAACTGACAACCTGTCTTCTGCCGTATTAGGCATTTCAGACATCGCTGATTAGAGTGAATTAATTTAATTGACTAAAGGCACTTACATCAATCCAAGTTCGCATGCATGCTTAACAGTGTTTGCCAGTTAGATGTAAGCCAACTCCTCCAAGTCGTTAAATGTTTCAAACAATGATGGGCCCTCAAGGTGTGAACATTTTATTTGGAGGAGCTCGGGCATTAAATTGCTCAGTCTTGTGCCAAGTTGGGGGCTTCACCTTGATCTGGATGAACCTAGTGATCCTTCTCAAAAGTGTCAGGAGCTCCTGGCTTCCAACTGGAATATCTGTAAAACAGCAATTTTACTAGTTCAGACATTCAAGCTACATGTCCACAATTTTTAAGGATTTAATTTGATGCCGCTGAACCTTTTGTTGCTTATTTATGTAGAATGTAGTGCTGCAGTCTGTACCTTCAGGGTAGAGCAGGGTCTTGACAAAGTGAATGACTCCATTAGTAGCCATGAGATCGGATTCAGAAGCTTGCACAGAATTCACCTGCATGCTGTTATTAGCCTGCATGAAAGCAAGATTTGAGAGTTAATTGATTAAGTACAATTGAATAAATGTCTCTATTGTGAAAAATGGCACTTATTAAGAACTTTAGCATTTTGTGAGACGTAAAAAAGGACTAGCACTCATCTTTAACCTCATCTTTTACTATCAAGGTCTTGTTTTCTTTGACTTGCCTGCGTAAATAGCTTGTGCACATTAAAATCTGAAGGAAATGAATTGACCAACTCAACACAGCAAAAGTGGCCTGACCTTTTATTCATTCTTTTGAGACTCCTTTTTGATATACCAGGACAAGGTTCACCTTCAGTAATATCAGTCTACTGTATTGTAATTTCTAATTAGATTTTGGCAAGAAAAAATGGCAGTAAAGCACTCATGCTTGTTAAACACCTGGAACTGATTCATTTAAAATGAATCATTTACTACACTTTAAGAAAGTCCTGCTGATGTGAGGCAGCAGGGAGTGCTCTAAACATGTTTCAGTTCAGGTTATTATAGAGGCTTGTGACTGGAAATGAAAATCACATGAGCTGGATTTAGCAGTGAGGGGGATTGTTGGGCTTTTAAGGACTTACAAACAAGACTTTGATGTTGCTGCCCTGGAGAGATTTGAGCAGGTTAGTGACTCCAGTCTCCAAGCCTCCGCCAATGAAGATGCCTTTGCTAAAGTGGTACAGCAGGATGGCTCTGAGGGCATTGGGATCGCCTTAAGCAGAAAGAGGAGACATTAGATGCACTTTATGTCTCAGTTAAAGTAACCTACACCTATACATATTAAAATACGATGTGGGAGAAAGTAATAAAAAGACTCAGGGTGTATGGTGTAAAATATTAATGTCTGTGATACCAAACGTGAGTGTTACTTTAAGTGTCTGGGAAAAGTTTAAATGGAAATAAAGAAATATCATAAAACCCTGCTTAAAACTTGCAAAGACAGAATTACTTCACTGATATACCTAGTTCATGAATGGTGATGGCAGGCTACAATTGTTAGTGAAAGTGAGCTTTCACTCACTATTTTGCATTCATTTGCTCAGTCTCTGAGAGTAAAGAGGTGTTGAGATGATTCTTTTTTAAAATGCATGGTGTGCCATGTCTAGTACCTCAAAAGAAGCATTTGACACGCATGTAAACATGAGAGGGCGATTTGAGAGAATGTAAAAGACTGAGACATTTCGAGACTGACATATACGCCCATCAGGCATAACATTATGACCGCCTCCTTGTTTCTATGCTCATTGTCCATTTTATCAGATCCACTTACTATATAGGTGCACTTTATACAGATATTACAGACTGTAGTCCATCTGTTTCTCTGCATACTTTGTTAGCCCCCTTTTACCCTGTTCTTCAGTGGTCAGGACCCCCATGGACCCTCACATAGCAGGTACTATTTGGGTGGTGGATTATTCTCAGCACTGCAGTAACACTGATGTGGTGGTGGTGGTGTGTTAGTGTGTGCTGTGCTGGTACGAGTGGATCAGACACTGCAGTGCTGCTGGAGTTTTTAAACACTGTGTCCACTCACTGTCCACTCTATTCGACACTCCTACCTTGTCAGTCCACCTTGTAGATGTAAAGTCAGAGACGATAGCTCATCTGTTGCTGCACAGTTTGTGTTGGTCATCCTCTAGTCCTTCATCAGTGGTCACAGGACGCTGTTGGCTGGATATTTTTGGTTGGTGGACTATTCTCAGTCCAGCAGTGACTCTGAGGTGTTTAAAAACTCCAGCAGCACTGCTGTGTCTGATCCACTCAGACCAGCACAACACACACTAACACACCACCACCACGTCAGTGTTACTGCAGTGCTGAGAATGATACACCACCCAAATAGTACCTGCTCTGTGAGGGTCCATGGGGGTCCTGACCACTGAAGAACAGGGTAAAAGGGGGCTAACAAAGTATGCATGGTATGTATGGACTACAGTCTGTAATTGTAGAACTACAAAGTGCACCTAAATAGTAAGTGGAGCTGATAAAATGGACAATGAGTGTAGAAACAAGGCCATAATGTTATGCCTCATTGGTGTATAATGATAAATAGGCAGCATAGATATTTTTGTAACAAATAAAAGAGAAAAAATACTTAATTCATTGTGTTCAAAAACAGCTAAAACTAGGACTGCTGAATTTACACTGAGCAATTCTGATGGAAGTACATGTAGATGCTGGAAAGACAAATAGCATTGTGGGGACACAGTATAAATATAGGCCCTATGACTATCAGTCAATCTAATTAGGAAGCAAATAGTGTATTTAGGTTTCCTGGAGGGCTTCAACACTTACTCTTCAGAATAGAGATGTCTCTCTGACTGAGGCCAGCCAGAGCCTGATCAGTCGGGGCAAATAGGGTGAAATCTCCCTCCTGTTTCAGCATGTCAGTCAGACCAGCCGCCTCCATCAGAGATAAAAAGATCCTACAAGCATGCAGAGAATTAGAATTACTATCTCAGCTCTCCTTTGTCTCCTCCTAATCCCATCACCACTGACAGTAATGCTTACTTTGTGATGTTCGCTACAGTATTGATGAAAATGGGGTTCGCTATAGTATTGATGAGGTCACTATTTTGAGAAAAAGTCTAGTTCATTTATTCAAAAAGTCTTGTTCATTTATTATTGCTTGCTAAACCGAAACACATCCCTAAGTATGTCCATAAGCTGTATATTGAAATGCTTCCACTTACTTGAAGCCTCCATGTGCAGTCAGCAGTTTGAACATGGTGGACTCTGCTGGTTTCATCAGTGTCCTCATTAGATGGAGTGCACCATTGCTTCCCTCTTTGCTTCCACGGATCAAGCAGGCATTCTCAATGCAGACAGCCTTTCAAGAAAGATAGGGCATTTTTAAAGAGACGGTGATGTAAGCATTGAAGTATGAGACATTATCTCTTTCATATTAATGTATTTTTGTTTGTTTTGTACTTTGGATGTTTGTCATTGCATTGTGAGCTGATATAATTACCAAGATTTTGGCTACATAACACCTGAATATGGCTACATAACACCTAAATAATCCTTGACATAAACCTGCATTAATATTTGTATTCCAGCAAGGCATCATTTGTCATAAAGGCTGTTTTAGTCAATTTTGATAGCAGTTCATCTCAGCAAATGTTATGACAACCGACACTTTTTGTAATAGGCCTTTGTAAAGGTCTATATAGGTATGTCTCCATTGTCATCAAAGGCTTATGTAGGTATCTTGCAGCCTTTTGAACGCTGCCCTTCAGTGAAGTAACCTAGAAGTTTTTTTTTCCTCGCCAGCATACTTTATAGGTTTGTTCACTTGTTTTGTTTTGAATGCATTTAATAAGATCTACTTAAAAAGCCCTGGAATTTAAACAAACAACACATAACACATTGTTTAACCTGTGATGTGGTAAAAGTAGGTAAGTTGTATTCAATTAATTGCTATTGATTTTTCTATGCTGTGATCATGTAGCTGTGAGGAGACTGACCGTGCGATAGACAAACACTCTGAGGAATCTCCCTCCTAGGGTCTCGAGACGCTGGCCATTGTACAGCTGACTCAGCACAATCTTTTTCTTCAGAATGTGGTTCTCTAGAATGATCCTCAGTAAGCGCTGATCCATGGACATTACTTCATCTACAGTGAACATCAGACAGAGAGGGAGTTACCGAGTTTTGAAATTTGACCATTGACCGTGGATGAACCTCAAATAGCTCTCTACTCCCCATATAGAGTTCTCGGTGAGTTGTTATGACCTACATATGGCACTACGTAGGGAGTGGGGAGCCATTTGGGATTCATTATTTATTTGTTCTTTCACAAGTCTCAGCTCAACATTGTTTAAGTGACTTGTACATTAAATCATGCATCATGCACTGTTACGTGTATTAAATCAGCTGCTGGGGCCTGACAAAATATTGGTTTTCCAGGCGGGGTGCCGACTGGATTTGGGTCAGTTTTTCACATACAGCATCAGGCTTAGGTCAGAATGAGTTTGTTTTCTAAAGAGTATTTTTTTTTTTTATATATGTAATAGATTTGTTTTTATTTGAAGGAAAATTCATTTTGTTTTTTTCTTTTTTGTAGATCAGCAGTTTCAGGAATGCACATTCTCATATAGGGTTTTCAGTTATTATTGTTGCCCGAAGCACTGTCCTTTCCCCCAAGCTGCCCCATGAATGGGATAAATTGCCCTGTAAAGAGCAAATGATGAATGTTTCTACACTGTCGTTAATCATAAATACACTACATTTACGAGGGCAGGGCGAGTGGCCCAGATCTGACTCTTGGGAGGTCTACAGTTTTATTTTGGGGAAGTTTGCTGGCTACTGGAGACCTAAAGTCTCACTATACAAAAGCTGCATTGCATTGGTGCTGACTTATCATTCCATTGAAGCATATGCATTCAGTTTTACAAGGAAAAAATTCAGCTTTAACTATTTGCTGTTTAAATGGTCCAGTCTAGTCTAGTTTGTATGAACCATTTAGGTGTCAACCAAACACCTTTCATAGATGTCCTGTAGCATTACTGACATGTCAAAATTATTTAATTGTCATTCAGAGGTTCTCTAAGCTCTTGCCATGGTTCTGGTTCCCTAAAGAAACTTTCTTCTACAAAGAATAATTCTAAAGAATAATTCTTCTACAGGAGATATGAGTGTGAAGAACTTCTTTAAAGTTTATTAACCTTAACATAATATAAAAGTTTGAACGAATGTTTTTTCCCTTAAACTATACACATCCATTTAGTAACCGTTAGTAAGTCAAGAGGTGTGATTTGCATGCTAAAACATACTTTCTCTTTTGCACAGTAAAGGCAAATACACTGGGGATATGAACGTGAGGCACCTTCACCTTTTCACCATTTCAGTAAATATTACCATTTCATTTTGCGTATAGGTCTAGAAAATGTTAATTAAAATAAATGTTTTTATACCTGTGCAAACTCTGAGTGACATATTTACGCACCTGCTGTATCAAGAGCCAGAGCAATGAATGAGGATGAGAGCAATGGATAGGAAAATATAGAAACGTGCCAACAAAGAGAAGAAACAACATGTCCTTGAAAGAAAGATGAATGATGCAGACCTAAATGACTGAGTAGGAGTATTGAGTGCAGAAGGTGAAAGAGAGAAATAGAAAATAAATCCAATAACTCGGAGAGCAAATTCAGCAGACAGGTAGAGAAATAAGAGTCTGCCAAAGGTAACTGAAACATCAGGGACTCATTTAGAGTGACCTACCGTTGAAGGCTGCGTTGAGAGGGGCCAGCAGTGTGTATTCAGCCTGCGGTCTCATGGCTGATGCCAGACCCAGTTCGGACACCATGTCACTGAAGGTGGCCTGGGATGGTCCAACCAGCTCCATGACTTGTTTAGCTTGGAGAAGAAAGTACAGTCCCTGATGTTTAGAATTCAGTTCAGGAAGTGCAGTACTGTGCAAAAGTCTCAAGTCAGCTGGGAAAATGTTTAAATCTGTTTATCTGGGCAGTAGGTGCATTTCTCTATGCCAGATTAAATACAGAAAATAGTAAAAGGAACATTGTTTCTAAATTGAATTCTAAATTGCATACTACCATGATTGCTTGTGTAGTAGTGTACTGTCTGTTTGTAAACATAAGCACACATTGTCGTTGATGTTAAGCACCAAAAGCTAGAGTGCTTATAGCACCCCCTTGTGGAGAATCTTCAGCCTGCTAAATATGACTGAGTGAGTCAAAAGCCATTGAGAAGTGTTTTGCATCTAAAAATATTTCCTTAAATAGTAGCAGGAAGGGGAGGAATAGGAAGCTAACCTGAGTCTGGCATGAGCACCTGGTCAATCAGGTGGATGACACCATTAGTGGTGACAATATCTTTCTTCAGCACCATCTTGATGCCGTTGACTGTCAGGCTGTCTCCATCACAGCCGATCTCAATGTTGGTGCCCTCCAGGGTCTCATATGAGGTTCCAGTCATAATGGCCTCAGAGCACTGGACTGAGTCCAACAAGTGATACTTGAGCAGGGCTGTGGAGGAGAAGAACAAAAGCATTTGAGTAGGCAAATGATAAAACATGTGAAAATGAAACATTGATCTGATAATGTGGTTTGAAACCAATCAATATTCTAAACCAAGTATGCATATAAGCCTAGCTTAGTTAGGAATAAGTATGTCTGATTGTATTTTGTTAGAATTTCTATTAGGACAAAAAGAAAAAGTACTTCAAACTAACTTTAGGTGAGGTACAATCAAAAAGAAAAGAAGGTGTATTAGCGGAAAAAAGGTGCAATGCTCACTCTTAACAATATTAAGCACTTTATTAAGTGTTGCCGTTTCATCCTGTTTCTAGACGTTTTACCAAAATCACCCAAAGATGTTCATAGCTGACCATGTCTGCACTCCTGATTCTTTTTTTCCATTGTTTTTCCCAACTAGCAAATCTTCTCAAGCTGACACTTATGTCATTTATATCTCCAGTGGTAGTATCTGTATCAACTCCTGAACCCCAGGTGTCCTTGGGAGCCTTTGGGTCCTTTGAGAATATGTCTGTCAACAGCTTCTCTCCAAGTGGAGCTCTCTGATGTCCCAGTCAAATGGCTGAAGAGAGACTGGTAAAAATGCAAGTATTCCAACACTGCCAATTCTTATTGGATAATAAAACCTACAGCTGTTTCCTGCTTTCCTGCACTTGGCACGATGAAGAGCATACTCACTTTGGATCTTTTTGATCATCTTTCAACACTTAAAATTTACGCTGCAGCACTGCTGGAAAAAACACGCACCACAGGAACCAGCTACAGTTGGCTTTGTTTTACAGGCTTTGTCCAAATTCTTTTGGTTTGCTTCTATATGTATCTGTACTGTATCTAATACAGTTGAGTTTGTGATTAAGGGTACAAATGTCTGTATATTTTCTGTTTTAAACTAAAGTGTTACGAGTTTGAATATTACTAAATATTCAGTGTAATGATTTTGAATACATGCTGTCTGGTAATGTGCACCTGGAAAAACAACCAATCAGCTGCTATGGCAATAAATCCAGTTTTGCTACATCAGGTTGGAATATTTCTTTACATGATCTACTGTTAAGTCAACAGTTCTGAACTCCAAAGCAAACAAGAATCTACGTTTCAAAGACTGCAAAAGATAAGGCCATGAATTCAATCTGAGACCTGGGGTCTAGACAGATTTGTACACATCCCAAAGTACTTCAAATGAAACAGTAACTCTAGCAGGCAGCGCTGCCATATTTGCCACTGTTTGCCAAATGTCTGAGAATTCCCAATCCTGAGAACACGCTGATGTAGTCCCCATCTGGTTTGAATGGGCCTAAAAATAAAAAAGTTCACAAGGGAAACACCGGCATTCTTGGTTTACGCAGATCAGCAAACATGGCACGAGGGAACCATCACAACCGTGTTTCCTTTGGACTTGCATTTCATTAAAGAGGAATAAGCCACCACTTTGTGCCAAGTCTGCCATCGATATGAGGGTTTAATGTTTCCTCTCGCCTGCTGAAAGCGTCTTTTGTACACTTAGAGTTTTGTTTGTGGAGGAAATTCCAAGGAAGTGATGGAAGTTATTGTTTTTGGCTCAGTACTTTACCTTGGAGAACACCCTTGTCACCCATAAGCCTTTCCATAACATCACCATCCAGCTTAGAAAAGGCGTCATTGGTGGGGGCGAAAAGGGTGAAGTGTCCAGGTTTGCCCAACATGTCCATCAGGCCGGAGGCTGTAGCTACAGTCTGGAATGAAAGGGAGCAGGAATAATATCAACCAAAATTAAGAATGGAGGGAGAACTCATGTAATGAGAAAGGGGTGCAGTAGAGCTGGAGAAAGTGAATAATACTGTGGAGAATTGACCTGGAGATCACAAAGGCTAGAATCTAGTGAATAGAAACAGTACTATTTCATTCTTTATAATACAGTATAGAAAGTTTGATTAATGGAGCCTTCTTCAACCTTCAAGGATAGAAGCTATGAAGCCTGGAAGGCTATTGGCTATATATAAATCTCTCTCAGAGTCATGATGCACCCACAACTTACATTCAGTGAACTCAGGTCATCTTCAACGTCAATCACATCCTGAATGGTGTTGCCTACTGCAGTGATAACACGGTCAATAACATGAACCACACCATTGGTGGCCACCTGGTTTCCATGGATGATCCTAGCACAGTTCACTGTGACGACCTGGAGATCAGAGAAGAAATACAGTACTTGATCTCCCATTTAAAATTGCATTTACTGATGTGTCGTCTGCATTTGTAATGTGCTTTTTTACTTCATCTGTCAAAGCGAATATGCTAAAACTACTCTAAAAGGACAATTAATTAACCTACCCCATTGGGATAATGGTTGATGTGAAGGCTCAGGTCATTGTACATGGAGGTGACGGTCATTCCGTTCTTCAAGTCCTTGGTGAGGAGCCGTTTGTTGGCCATGTGATAGTGCAGAGCATTGTACAGCTCAATGTTAACATTGCTCACCAAAGCATTCCTCACTTCCTGTAGAGCATAGAAGAGATCATCAGTAGTTATTCAGATATTGACTCCAATTCAGCCTCCAGGTCATCAGCATAGTGAGTAAATTGAGCAAGACTTCTGCCCAGTTCAGAGAACAAAATTCAACTGGACCTCAGGCCTCTGGAAACAGGATCTCATAATTGCAATTTTGTAGTCTGGTTATGTCAATTAACTGTGCGAAAGTTGTGGGAAGACTACAATTCCTTGTCATAGAAGGTTGACCTAACATTACCTCTGAAATAAATATATCTCCAAGACATTACTTCATGTAATTGTGTCCTTTTCTCGCATCATTTAAAACCACAGATTTGTAAAGATACTGCTTCAAATATGGTTACGTTTGGTTTGTGAGCAGCACCTTAAAGTGAATCAAAAAATGGATTTGATTATAAACAGGTGAGTGTTGTTTACAAATACTAGACTTTTCAAACCGGTCTTTGCAAGCTGAGACTATGTTTCTCCATTTATGAATTAGCAAAGTGTGATATTCACTGCCTGCCATGTTTTGTTTTGATTGTGGTTTTAGATAAGACTGTGTTAAGACACATGTAGATCTGTATTACCAGATCTAGGAGATCCCAAGCTTCGTTACTGGGGGCAAAGAAAGTATATGATCCAGATCCCTCGATTTCCTCCTTCAATTTGGACATGGCAGAGTACTTCTGTGTGGTGACTGCATTCACCAGACCAAGAGTGCCATAGACGTTGTCAATAGGAGAAACTAAAGGGAGAAAAATAACACAATATGGATCATGTTGGAGTTATTTGATATGATAGAGGCTCAATTATGATCATGTTTATTCCTCTATGTATGCCCCACACACATCCCCATACATTCTCACCTTTATTACAAGAACTTTCCTACCCTTTGGCAGATAACATGATTAGATTGGCAACAAATAATGTAAATATTGTTAAGGTTTTACTGTAACAACTCTCTGTTCAGATTGGCTCAAAGACTATTCTGATACAAATAAGACGACTCACCAGCAGGACAACCGCGCATACCCTCCAGCTTCATGTATCCTGGACAGCACTCATACAGAACAGTGCTACACAGGAAAGAAAACACAGTATTAACTGACCATACTGTATATCCTATTTTTGCCCTAAAATAGCAAAAATACTTTTTTTCCATAAGCCCCAATATAATACCACTACAGTTTATACTATCCAACACTGTCCAGCACATTAACATGCTCTAATTTTCCTGGAGCCCCTTCTCATTACAAGCTACATAAGCTTTAGGATTCTATGGGCTGAACATGCTGTCTTTTCATATGGGAACCATCAACTGTCTCATTATATAAACATGCTATGTGGCCTCGAGGTTTGAGCAAGTATGTCCCACTAGAATTACACTACCACAACGTTTTAACACATAAAATGGCATCTTTGAGAGAACCTAGTGATGCGGTAAACTTCAGAATTATGTTTTGGCTTCAACATGGTGAGTGGAACCAAATTTCCAACCATAAGGAAATCTTGGCTTGGAAGTTAGAGTCAACTACAACACAAGGAATGTAGGCAACTGACAATTATTCAGTATATAATACCATAATTCTGTTTATTAAGAAAATGCTCCCATCTACATTTGAAAGAATGGTCTGTTGCAATGTTTTTTTTATTGCACAATATTTTCAACATACAGCAACCGTTATTCTTAATTATCATTGATTATATTAACGTGTCATAAAAATATGGCTAAAAAGAAGCGTGTAATGGAAAATTATGTCTTTGCCCACTTTTTGCCACTTTTAAACTTAATTTGCTCATTAGTGGTGATTCCTAGGACAGTTATATAGGAACTATAAATTACTATGTGGCCTTTGAGTCAGCACATAAACATTTATGCCCTGTGGCAGTTTCTCACATTTTTTATTACTGCATTTTACAGGATCTCTCACTGTAGTGCCTGTCTTTTGCAGGACACATTTACAGTAAGCTATATACGGGAAAAAAGGAAAGAAAAGAACCAGGGACTACACCGATGTCACCGAAAACATGGACCATATGGACAGGACATTAATAGAGAGAGTTTTTTTCACTGTGTACTCAAACCATAATAGATATAGTAGATATAGATACATTTAAGCCTAGAGAGATTCATACATCTTCAAGTGACGGTGGTGGTAGGGGGATACTAGTTTTTGTGCAGTCTTGGAAAGGCTCTGCATCATCAAATGGTTCCATATGTTTCCTCTGCTTAGCTGTTGGAACACCAGGCTAGACTAAAGCACACAAATCAACCTGGACAAAGCTCCAGGGACGGCCTGTGTGGGAGAGACATGCTGGAAATGGAAAGCAGGGGGATGCTTCCACCAGAATTAACAGTAATGAGCTTAGTAGAGACAAATGAGGAGTTCAAAGATTCCTTTCACCATGCTAGCACCATGGAGGAACCAGAAGCAGCAGACAGGAACCAAGCAAAAGTTCCGTCTGGGAGAGGCTGGCTGGCTGGCTGCCATGCTCTACTGTGGCAGGGGCTTTGAAGCACAGTGAGCATAAAGGAGGAGGAAGGGGGTTAGAGATGAGGTCATCAGAGCGTCTGTTACACTTCCAGACGTTTAGCCAAAAGAGAACAAGAGTGTCTCAAACATCTCTCCCACACGAGGAGGAAAGCCAGACTCCTATTGACTTGGCAGGCCCCTGGTTTTCTACCACATCAACAGTTTAGGGACGGAGTTAGAAGTTTCCTACTGTATTTTATTGACATTTTTCCCAGTGATGGAATGAGCGGTCATTATTTATAGCAGTAATTATGAAGAGTCATGGGGTGAAATATTCAAAAATCTGAAGCACATGTTGAGATTTTTAGTATAGAACCAAAGCCTGATGGTCAGTGCGATTGTTGTTGGCTCATTGGAAGCTACCACAGTGGTCACCAATTGTTATTCTAGGCATAGTTCCAACCTCAATCCATCAGAAGATCATGATTAGTTGAGTCTTGTATATTAGATTTGGGTTCAGAACTATACAATGGAAGGAAGATCTGTAGGGTTTGTGGGTTGTTGACCACATAATACAGGGATAAATTTAGTCTGGATGATGCTTAAATTTAAACCATTGCTGAACCATGGAAACCTAATCGCCACTAACCATGTACAGACCCTGAATGAACTCTGAGATTAAGACCGACATTTATAAACATTTCACTGATACAGATGCAGTAATCACCATTTCTGCTGAGTTCACAGAAAACACCAGGCATGGACAAAAAGTGCAAGAGCAGCAGAAAAGCTGAAGCTGAACTGCTGATGGGAACTTCTGGTCTGGCTGAGCTCCATGTTTGAGGAGAGGCGCCGAGGTAAGACCAACAGCACTGGAGGAGCCGTCATCCTGAAGCTTTGTGGCCGGCCTGGTCCATGGCACGAGGGACTGTTCCCTTGCTGTAAACCCATAAACCCCCTCCCCTTTTCAACCGTGGAAAAAGAAATGGAAACCAGAGGCATCACAGACCCAACATGAATCAACATTTGCGGTTGACCATGATCGCCTTCAAAAACCCAGCCTCTTCATTACAGGGCCTTGCAGTCAGTGATCTGATTCTACTGTTCATGTTCCTTATTTCTTTTGTGCTCTGCCTTTTTGAGAAATTGTCTGTCACTGCACTTGTATGTCAGGGAAACTTCTCAAACACCTACTAACTCAGTAGCAGAAGTTAACTCTGACTGCTTTCTGATCTAGCAGACAGATGTGTTTGTAGCCCACGGGCGGGAATTTAAGGTGAGCTGTTTCAACACAGCCCTGGTGCTTCAAGCCAGCACTGTGGTTTGCTTTAATCATTAGTAACAAGTCCTGCCAGCAGTCCTCCCCCCTTTATACCAATTAAGGACTCTGTGACTTTCTAGTAGTGCACCACATAGCTAATCATGGGAAATAATCTCATCTGTGGCACGCAGCATGCAGGAAGTCATAAGAGCAATAGAGTTGTTTCCTCAGTTTGATTAAACTCACGCACGCTAATAAATCTGCTGGCTTTCACAGACATGGTTCGAAAGGGGGTTACAATGACTAAGCTCTGTCTTACACTATGGAAAGCAATGGACTGCTGAGAAGCTTTTAACACACCCCCAATTTGGGACACTAGTCTCTCACCCCTGACCCCAGCTGCCAGATTACTTAACGGCCCCAAGGAGTTATAAAAACGTCCCACTTACGCTTTCTTTCCACAGATGGCTCCTTGGTACCAATTACGGCAAGTGCTGAAGTACTTCTTCTTGGTCCCCACCACTTGCTGCAGAGCGCAGACATTTGGTCTGAAGGGGGACCACCAAGCAAAGGGTCAGGCATTGCATGAAATTACTACAGCAGGAAAAACTGAACTGTTTGGACTCATAAATGTCTAACAAATGAGAATGAAATCATGAGCTAATGATTGGTTCTGCATATTTTCCATGATTTCTTCTTAAATAAACTTTACTTGGATTTCACTTGTTAAACATTAAACATGTTTCCACACTGTTACATATTAGTTACATAGTAATTATCATGTTATTTGTGGTAGTTACTGAGTGAATAAGCCCAGAGTCCAAGGGGTTAATATTAAATGCATATCGTTAAGACTACATTTCTCCAAATATCAAGCTATAACTTCAGATTTAAATATTAATAGCATGATATTACTACAGCAGGAAAAACTGAACTGTTTGGACTCATAAATGTCTAACAAATGAGAATGAAATCATGAGCTAATGATTGGTTCTGCATATTTTCCATGATTTCTTCTTAAATAAACTTTACTTGGATTTCACTTGTTAAATATTAAACATGTTTCCACACTGTTACATATTAGTTACATAGTAATTATCATGTTATTTGTGGTAGTTACAGAGTGAATAAGCCTAGAGTCCAAGGGGTTAATATTAAATGCATATCGTTAAGACTACATTCCTCCAAATATCAAACTATAAGTTCGGATTTGAATATTAAAGAATAAATAAATGAATGCTAATGAAAATGCAACACAATGTAAAATAATAATAATAAAACAAAAAAAGTGAATTATCACACTACAAAACTATGTTTTTGGAAAAATCAAATTTTAACAACGTACATTCTCCATGTTTAACTGCTTTTTTAAAATATATTTATTAAATATTAGAGAAATTAGCATGCAAAAAATAAAAAATGCACAAATAAGACTGTTAATCTACTGCATTCTGCTTTCAGTTAATCAACTTTGTGTGCACTTTTGGATTGAATACATTAAAAAGTAATAATAAAAAATAAATAAAAAAATCTCACACTTACCCTTCTTTCTTTGCCCGTATGCGGCTGTGGGCCACTATTTTGTCATAAGCGGAAGAGTCCGCCTGGTCAAAGGCAGAAAGCACAAAGAGTGCAAAGGCAGCTGCAAAAAGGAGCTTCATGCTCACCTCTGCTTCAGTGGGAGCTGAGAGGGAGAAATGGGCTTGGGCAGGGGGAGAGACAGCTTTTATAGACCAGCTCTAGGCACACACTCAGCAACTCCACCAGGCTCTCCTGTTCTCCAGCAAGCCTTCTGGAGCTCACACTCACCTTTTCACCAAATAATCGTCATGCTTTAAGGGAGTGGGCTTGTGAAGAGTGAGATCAGGCTTGGGGGCTGTCACAGTTCTGATGTAATTCAGCAACTTTTTAGAAGAACCAGTTTCTTTTTCTGTTTAAAAAAAAAAGCACCTAATAAGAGTCAGTTGCTGCATCTTTACACAAAGTACTGTGCAAAAGTGTTAGACATCTGAAAAAAAGCACATTTACAAAACTATAATGTTTATAGGGGCAGTAGGAATATTTCATCATAGATAGGATGGAAAAAAAAAGACATAAAACACTAATTAATACAATGAGCAGTAATGCTGCTTAACCATTTCCAAAGCTCTCCTCATAGAATCCCAGTATTATTTGCAGTCATTATGCTGCATCAGATGTTCTGGTGATGGAATTTAACAAATATGGAAGGAAAAACCAAACATTGTTCTTCTAACCAGCTCACAAGATATCAACTATTGTTTTAAAAACGAAAGTTCTTGTTACTTTTTTAAACTGCATTCATGTTTATTTGTATTTATTCCAGTGCTATATTGTGTTGTTTCACGCAAAAACACAGTAACTGTCCAGACAAATGGTCTGATTTCAAACAATTTACTTAGGTGCCTAAAACTTCTGCGCAGTACTGTATATAACAGTAGTTAATGAACACACTTATGTGGGTATGTGGAGGTCATTTAAAGTTCAAAGGAATGCAGTGTAAAATAGGTTTGTATGATATTAAAATTGAGTGTTTTGTTAAAGATCCAGCAATGTTTAAATGTATAAAGCAAGATAGAAATAAAACATGGCTTTTCTGGGCGTGGCACTAATATTCTGATGAGCGTGTGATTGACAGCCCTCAGTCAACACTCGCAGCGTGTTACATCACTAAAGTAGAACTAAACATAACAGTGTGAGAAATGAGAGAAACAGGCTGTACAAATTTCTAAAAACTTTACAGGAGGGCAAAAATGTTTTTAACTTTTAATGTAAGTAAATGTAAAGAGGTTTTCTTCCTGTTGTTTTTAAAGCATCTCTATTGGCTCATTCATCATAAAAGTTTCACACACTATAAAGGACAACAGCTGTTCAAATTATGTAGAAAAATTAAATTGGAGATATAGGGAATTTCTTTTTAATATTGACAGAATGCAGGAGGTATTGTAGGCCTCGCTAGGACTGCAGCTCACTAAAAACATTATTCATTATATTTATTGTTATTTGGTGATATCTCAAAAAAGGTAAGGTCCTTATTCACTTTACTTTCTGTTCATTCAGGAGGGTTGACTTTAGCTGAGAAGAGAAGACTATTAGGAACGGTTTAGTTAACCTACATCAGCTTTGTGATTGGTAACAACACTGCTTATAAATGGACTATTACCCAAGATTAGGACTGCCCACTTTACATGGAGAGAGTAGAATGTGGCCAGAATACATCAGTCTTTTGTTGGGCATTGGAAAGTGATTCAAAGGACATCCTTTGTGTGTATATTGTGAGCCCACAAGAGCAAGATTAACCCGCTTAGAAGGAAAATGCAGAGATTCCCTGGGGCTTTAAACTTTACATAAGTCCTTTACACTCATACATCTCCTTTACAAAAATGCTTCAAGGAAGAACCATCTATTACCATTCATCTTTAAAAGAGAGGAGAAAATCATGTTCCATTTTTGGTTTAATGTTTCAGTCCATGGTTTAATGTTTCAGTCCATTTTTCATCATTATAAGTCTGAAAGGATGTGTAGCTGTCAAGAAGGCCTTAACTGAGAAAAGGAAACAGAAAAAAAGAAGAAAATTTGCAAATCAAGCAAAGACACAGCTGGTGTTTTCAGAAAAATGGATTGAGAGCCCAGATCTCATCACTGAATGTGTTTGGGATTACTTGGGATGGTGAGAAGCAAAGAATGCAACCAAATTCTGGGACCGAACTTTGGAGATGTAGAAAAAAAATTTTGAAGTCTCCCAAAAAGGCTGGAAGCTAAAATAAAAAGGCTGTACTCTCTCAGAAATAAAGGTACAAATATTGTGGGGTGGTTTCCTCAAGGGTACATCTCAGTACCTTTAGTCAGGGAACATAATTGTACCATAATCCATTGAAATGATATTTTTGTTGTACTGACTCCACACACCCCGTCTCGTCTCCAGGCTTTTTTATTTTATTGTTCTGTTTTAAAACATTTGGTTCTGAAAAGATAAAAATCTATACTTTTCACCTGGAAAAGTACCACTGTTGTACCTTTTGAAGATACATTTACATTGTTTGTACCTTGATAAATGTACCTGCATAGAACCTTTATTTCTGACAGTGGATGGCCTCTGTGGTGCCAAAGAACCCTAAAGAACCTTTATTTGAAGAGTGCGAGTTCAAAATAAGCAACTCATGCCTTTTATTTTTTTTAAACATGATTAAGTAGTTTTCTTCTAAACTCTGTTGATGGAAAGCTTGAAACTATAGGAGATAAACACTGCTGTGATTAGGGGCATTAAGCCACATTCGGTCAGAGAAATGCAAATGGATGTTTATAACATGTTGCAGACCATTCGTCTTTTGTGGTTGTGTCAGAAGTGTCTCTGCTGGTCCAGCAGCTTTCCTTGATCATTTATCATTCAGTGTCACCCGTTGTTGCCAGGAAAAAAGACAACATTTTTCTTTCCCTAAGAAAATCTGCACTTACTGGCAACCAGTTTAAATATAAGGAATGCATTTTAGAGGTGAAAGGGGAGCAAACATTGCCCCTACAAGTGCGAGGCTGCAGCACGCTAAGGATAAATCAGCTTTACGTAAGATAAGAGCTGCTCTCCAGATGTCAGCCCCAAATCGCAGACACAAATCAATGCGACGGAGCTCCAGATCGGCTCGTACGTTGGATCCCTCAAGCAAACTCTCCTGGAGTATATCACGACAGTGGTGTGCGTGAGATGAGAGGAGCTGGATTCTGTGGCTCCCTCTTGTGGCAAAGCAGTTGGCTGATTTCCAGCCACAGGCACATTTTTCACTGAAACACGTATGACAAATGTGGCTCGGGAAGCCCACTCTGTGCAAGGCTGGAAAGAATGAGAAAACCCCAGAGTGGATGTCTTCAGCATATTTAAACATGTCAGACAGTCTTCAGAGTCAGTAATACTAGACTAGGCTAGTCCCTTAAAAGATTGAAGACAGAAGAAGATAAAAGAAAGATAAATGGCCAAATAAAAAACGCAACCCAAAGAGGCCAGCTCTAACCTCCCCCTTCCTCTTTATGTATACAACGGTCCAAGCTATTGTTTATGATTTTTACCTACATTGACCTCTATTTAATAGTTTCAGTCCTTTTTGCCAGCATCATGCAGCTATGTAGTCTTTAAAGGGCAATTCCACCAAATTTATCAGAATATACGTGAAAATCATATTTACACAATCATTCAGAGTGATTTGATATGAAATGGTTAATTGTAGAGAAACTGCAATCGACTCTGGTCACAATGGCTGCAACACAAATACAACCATTTTATTTATTATATAAAACCACCTGTGAATTACACATCTTGATGATGATGATTTATGTTAATGATGGTTTAAAAAAAAGAAAAATATGCTTTCTTGGAGGACTGTGTTACCTTACAATGTACTGAATGTATCTCAACGCCATTTAATATATTTTAAAAAATGTGTTTTAGGTCAAAACCTCATATTAAAACTCTTGTAAAACAGTGTCTTGGGCACCAGGCAGCATTTTAATAAACATTAAACATTTTAATTAACATTTATATTTCTGTGAGGGAGCTTTTAGAGGCGTCTTCAGACGGCTGGTTCCTATCAACACCACTGTGAACAGATGAATCAAGAGGACAAAGTAATACAAGTAACCTGCAAGAGCAGAGGTTAAACAGAGATGAATGTTGGTGAACTATTTGGCAAGCGACACTGCTGCCCTTCTTATTTGTGTTATAACTGCTTACTAAATATTTTGCAAGGTGTTAATATGATCTAATTAATAACCACTAACAACCTAATCTTAAAACATTCATAGATGCTTCTTTATATGAAAACGTACCTGAAATGTGCAATTCTGGAATTCATTCTCTCTCTCTCTCTCTCTCTCCTCTCTCTCCCTCTCTCCCTCCCTCCCTCACTCTTTCTCTCTCTCTCCCTCCCTCCCTCTTTCTCTCTCTCTCCCTCTCTCTCTGATGTTATTGCCTTTGGGCAGGAATGTACAGGCTAGGCTGCAGTTACAGCCATGTTAGGCAGACAGAGAGTAGAGACTCTGGTAGTAAATATTTGCACTAAATCAACCTACACTTGTATAAATAAAGGTTCCTGTGTGATTCTTGGCGTGGACATGCATATCTAGAAAAACCTTTGATTGCTAAAGAAACTTTACATTACATGGAGGTTCTTTAAATGTTCTTCACAAAAATGGCATTTTAAGTAAACCAACTAGAAACGTTCTTTAGGGAACCAAAAGTGATTCTTCTCAGGTATCACTCCAAAGGACTTGTTTTGGCACCTTTATTTTTAAGACTGTATATACTCGAGCTTTGACGGGAGCCTGTTGTTAATACAAGATTTTTGTTAACATGACACGTTACCTTCAGTATGACGTTACACTGCCCTTGTAAAGCCATTATTAAGCTGATAATTATTAATTAACTGGCTGCTTGTTACTACTATTAAGCGATTGAGTCACTAGAGTGAATAAAGCATTTTCCTGAGCACTTTTTCTTACACAACCCTTACCTAACCATTGGGTCTGTACTGTGATCATTTTCTTTTGATTAATCTATCAATACCTTAATAATTAATCATTAATTAGTGCTAAATAAAGACAAACTGACCGATGACAGATTGTCTTATGACAAAAATGAATAAAGCTATTAACACAATAATTGGCAGTCACTTAAGTTATTGGCTATATAAGATAGCTTCCAGCTATTGGCTTGAATGAAGCTTAATAATAATAATAATAATAATAATCTCTAGTTGTTGCTCAATAAAGCGTAATGCAATCAGTTAATTAGCAGCTATTGGCTTTGTGAGGCTTAATAAAAGTGTA